CACAGTGTATTAGTTCTGTAACGATGTATTTCAAGTACAAGGGGCATATCTTTACAAATTCTTTATTCAGACGCCATTCTCTGCTACTGCTACCTGGCCGCCGTCATAAGAAACGGGCAGCGTTTCATTCATTTAGTCGCCGCTACGGGCCGCCACTTCCCAATACTTTTGTGCAGCGACTTCATCGCTTGTTTCCTTAGTGTTAATATGCACATATTTTATTGTAACTCTCTGATTGTTTCGTTCTTTCTCACGTCGCGCTAGAGCGTTCATTAGCATCGCAACCATTCGGGTTCGGTTCCTGCCAAAGGCACACATCTGAACACAACTCCTTGTCCGGTTTGTTTTGCAGTGCTCCTAGGTTACATGCACAGTACATTTATGAAAACCAACAGACTCTGAAGCCAGGAAATATACAGGGGACATTATAATCATTATGATATTGACTATAGTGCTTCCGCTAACTCTCCCAGGTTTACATGCACAGATGTGCCTGATAACGTGCACAGGAGGACCACCGCCGCTGTAGCTCGATTGGTGGATTATCTGACTCGTTATTCGAACGTTGCGGGTTCGCTTCTTGCCGGCAGCAAGTTCTGTTTTCGGCCACTTCGGCTTCTTCACAATCCTGTCATAATTTCTACGAATAAAATCCCCCATATTTTCATTGACTTTGTCAGCTGGTTTTCATTGGTATCTAACAGAAAAAAAGCAATTAAATTCCCTTTCGTTAATTATACGAATTTTATCTACTTTGATTGCTCGAGGCTTTATTCTCAGCCGCATTTGAAAAAAGAAAACAACCATTTTTCACGTTTTACTAAACTTTCGTCCGACAGCTCCAAAAACATTGTTTAGATTAGAGTGAGTGCGAGAGTACCACAAGAGTTCGCTTGGTGAGAGAAAGCGAGCAATATGAATAATACGCATGGTAACCCGTGCCCCCGCTCAGGGGGAAGGGGCAGGGGTCCCTTAGTCACCTTGAGGGGGGGGGGGGCGCAAAGTTTGCCTCCCTGGGGACGAACCATATCGTAGCGCAGGATTCCTCGTTAGAGGGGGGGGGGGCGATCGCCTCCCCCCCTCAAGCTTCTGAAGGGAAACCCTGCGGGCACCTATGGTGGTGATGCCGCCACGAACTTCACGCATCGCCTCGTTCTGACCTCCTTTTGTTTTGAAAGACTCAGCTGGTATCTGCGTTATTAACTGTCGATAAAAATGGATTGTACGTGTACTGAAGGAACCGGAGACTCAACAGATAGCAAGTTGCAGGACATTTTATTGAACTAATAGTGCCCAAATATGAAGATTGCTCGAGATAAGTCACGTCAGAGTGACGTTCAGGTGCTGGAATGACGGCGCGAAATAAAAATGAAGCTTCGACCTGCACTTCGCCCTTTAATCCGCAATGTCCATAGACTGTTGCGCTGCCAAGCGGAATTGAGGAACGTCCTCTCAAGGATGGTCATTCTCCCTTGTTCGGCTGAGCTAACTTCAGTGCTAACGAGTTAGCAAGAAACGAACACTAGCTATCACTTTGCACGTTTCCTGCATCAGAGAACAAACCGGATCCACAGCGACTCCATAAATCTAGTTCGTTCTAGCGAGACTTGAAGTTTTCATGAAAATACGTGGAAACTCGCGCTTTCGATGATGGGCCGCCAAGTACACATACATATCGACTTCGGGAGGTTTTCTGTAATCGAGTGGGGTAATTGCTATCGTCCGACTTTTGCAGTTGAAACTCACGTTATTTTACTTGTATTAAGGTCACTACTTGTATGTGGCATTCGTCAGTGCTTTTGATTGCATGAATCCCATAACACTGTACGCGGAAAGTCGCACGTGCTCGCGATTATCTCAAATTTGCTTTAGTGCTGTGTAGCTTGTTTTTGTACGTTTGTTGATAGATGGCAGCACACTGCAAGCGCTTTGTTTTTTGACCGGTTTGAGAGCAAAACGTTCTCCGCGCCCAGAACAAAATAGACGTTGAGTAGTCAAGTAGCTCGGCAGAGGAAATTCTTCAGATTTCTTTTACCAGTGATGCTGAAAGAAACTGCCTTGACGATGGGAATTTTTCACTGGACGTAAAGGGTTGTGAAAGCAGTGAGAGTGACGGCGACGATCAACGATCAGCTGCCTGTTCACGAGGAGCGAAGCTGCACTTCACATCCTGTCATGCCTTAATATTTTTGACGTTCATAAGTCACTTTGATCGTATTTAATGTTTAGTATGCTTCAGTGAATTCGTAATAAAAGCACACTTGTGCGTGTGCATTGCAAGTAGCGCAGTTATTGTGGATAATATAGAGCGCCGCATGCTGCCGGCACTCTCGACCAGCGAAGCTAAATGGTTAAAACGTCGGCCACAATCCACGCCTCTCTGCTAACTTCTGTAGTTGTACGACGTTTTTTTCGCATCATCGAATTGTTCGACCTTGCGAAAAACACACGTGTGTATATTCTTTCAGATATTCATGTTTTCATCGTGCTGATTGAACCTGCAACACCCAGTGAATTGTCACGGCTATAGCCTGAGCACGGCGTTGACACAACGGCTATACTGCCTGGGTTGTTGAATGCTCGTGTTCCATTTGAGGAGCAAATCAGTGTTCCTGACAGCGCAAGTAGCGACGAGGGCGTAATGTTTGCAAACCGTCATCACGTCAAAAAACAAAAAAAAACCAAAAAAAAATAACGGTGCCGTGCAGCAGCGATGGCGGTATACTTGCTAGCGGCTTATACTATACTGCGGCAAATCCGTCAGGCAGGCTCGGTACATACTACCTCCGAGCGCCGCTGAGTTCATGCGTCAATTCTAGTTCATGCAGTTTTTTTTGTAGCACGCACATGATTTCGCACAGCATTGTTCATGCATGGTAACGGAGTTCAAATATAACCTTTAACACCGCGGCAAATAATTAGGCGCCGTGTTTTTCCATGAGTATCTTTGTCTCACGTAAATTTCGGTGCAGCTCATGACTTCAACCGGTGAAAGGGGCACGGGCTATACGCGTCCTATCTGTTCTTATGCTAACACATGGGTTGGCCCTCCTCCGGTTGCCATATTGGATCGCACATCACGCCACTTATAGTTGGTCGGTATTGGAAATAATGGCAAAAAAAAACGACAAAATCAACATCATGAGAGTCCGCACTAAACAGTTCACGAGTCTAAACACTGCTAGTGTTTCATTGCCACACCCGTTTGAGGGGAAGGGTGTGCAAATTCCCCTGGGCCAGCCAACCTGACCTGCACTATTCCCTGTTCATTTAAAGATTCCTTGTTGAGGTACATAGAAAAGTATGCTTTGCCATGGGGATCTTGTCATGGATTTTTGAAATCAGATCAATGTTTCCAAAACAAATTGGTTGGTTGGTCAGCTGGCTGCTTACGTGGTTGGTTGTTCCTTAGTAATATGACTCAACCCACCGCGGGGGCTGCTCCCATGAACAGCATCCCATGAAAGGGATGCTGTCTTGTTTCAGAAACTATATTGAGTTCTTCCGTCGGCGTGACTCATATTCTACATTTTTTTTCTGATTTTATTTATTAAGGTGATAGCCACAGGCGTATTGTCAAATGGAAAAAAAAATTGACCAGTGGTCAATTTTTTCATTTGTCCTGCAGGCGGCGTCAGGGACGACGAGTGATGAAAAAAAATGTGGTGACGTCGATATATGACGCCAAAAATAGCAAAATTTTGTGACGTCACCATGACGTCACAAATTACCGGGCGTGGTCATGTTACGTAACGCTAGATGCTGCCGTTGTGGCGCCATCATTCACTAGGAACATAAAGACCACGCTTGGTTACGTGAAGCCACGCGGCTCGTGTTCTCTTATTTATACATTGAAAAAAAAAAATAGAAAAAGATGCGCTTCGCCTTCGAGTCGTCGTAGGCCCCTGCGAGGCCCCTGCGAGTTTTTGATACGTGAATGTGCTTGTAAGTTAGGTGGGCCGATGAGATTTAAAAGAGTTCGCAGGTATGACGTGCCAGCAGCAGATACAGCAGAAATCACAAGAGCGGCCGGGTTTTTTGGCGGATCGTGGCAGAGGCCTTTGCCCTGCAGTGGGCGTGGTCAGGCTGATGATGATGATGATTATCATCTATAAGCGCATATATACAGACGCGCGAACATACGTAAAGGAGACCGGAAGGAGTTCGAAGTCGCCGACGCTGTAATTGGCCATGCCGACGTATTCGTATCCTTGCCGACTGCCCTTAACGGTTACACCGTGTGATCATTCTGATCATACATTACGTACAACACACGCAAAAACCAGACATCAAAGGTGGCACACGTTGTGTGCGCACCTTTCTTTCGTCGCGTCCCGTCATGGCGTGATTGATGCGAAGAACGTCACATACATGTCTATCAAGCAGCAGCAACGTCAAAATGAAGCCACAGCGTTGAAGTTTGCGTTGGTAGCGCAGGTTTCGAAGCTTGTCACGAACATGGGCGAACAGGTTTGCCTATTAGCACGTACAAAAGACGTGGAACAGCCTGTACTGTGCAGGTTTGCCGTATATGTGTTCTAATTTATTGGCAATGCAATGTGATGGCACAGTGAAACACAGGGGAATATAAATTTTTCGAGCTGTTACTGCGACTGAGAAATGTGTGTGTCATTAGGATGACGTCACAGATCGCCGTAGTTTGTGACTTTATCGTGATATATGATGGCGTAATCCCACGACATTGTTGATTGGTTAAAGGCAGGGCCTGTTTAGGGTGTAGAGAAACAAAGGAGTGCAAAGCCTATCAGCAGAAGGATCCACAGGGTCGAATGAGAAGAAAAATGAGCAAAACAGACACGATGACTTTTGCTTTCGTGTATAGTTTTATACGAGTACTTGAAGACCATGTGTGTTTTTGTTTGGAATGGCCAAAATGACGGTCACCTTTATAATTCAAGGACTCTACATGAGCTTTTTAATAATTTCTCACGTTGGTGTCAGCCGGCCTTTGAAGCTTGGCTAGCAATAAACAAACCAGCTGTGTCTTCTTTTTTTATTGTACATAAAAAAGAAACACAGAACACGCTCGACACAAACAAAAAACAGAGTATTGGTGAAAGCAGCACAATGCGTGCAGATCGCACCTGACGTGCCCCAAGTCCGGACTCCCCAACCCATTGTCGCTTGTCAAGTCGTCGCAGTGTATGCGTGTTTTGCGGCTTCGTGTATGGCATCGTGCCTGGAGTAACATATCCTAGGCATTGGAATATATTTTTTTTTGCGCCGGCCTTGTACCGAATCCAGAACAAATGACTCCACCGCGTTGTGGTGGCTGCTGGTGTGCACTTGACAGCGCGGTGTGCAGACACGTCGTCGGGCAGAGCGATGAATCGACCGATGCTGGCACGGTCATCTTCGTGGAATGCGCGCATCGGCCAGGAGGCGGGAACGGAGTAGGCAGCACAACGACGCCTTGCTTTTCCGCGTCTCGACTGAAGTCCACGCCGGTTGGCGCACGCTTTATTGAGAATTACGGCGTGGCGACCAGTCTGCTATGCGTTACAGGGTGCGCTGAACTGAAACTGCAGCGTTCTACACTTGCAATCGGTATTATGGTCGTCGTAGAACTGCAGACTCCTTCCAGGTAGCAGTGCCCTTCCCCAGGTTACAGTTGCATCTGTTCATACGCATACGTAAGCGCGCTTCGGAACCGACAGCCACATGGAGCGTATGTTCGGCGTCGCGGCGCGTCCTTGGATGTTGCGTGAATAGTGTGCTCTAGACATAGACTTCAGTGGTATTACTGACCGCACGGCACACCAATGGTTGCGAATTTCAGTCGTGTTTGCACTTCGATTGCCCCGCCGCAATAAAGTGCATAGCATATGATAACACCGCTGAGGACCTTGTACCGGGAAGTATCCACAATATTCGTTCAATAGCAGTCGCTGCACTCTAAGCCGAAATTCGGCAAAGTTGGACTAACTGCAGTCGTTAAACCAATGAACGAACGGTTCGTCCAACAGGGACTAAATGTGTGACAATGCGTGTCTTGCGCAAACGCCCGGCAATGAAGGGACCAACGGGGAGGGCAACTGCGCCGCGATCGCCTCCTGTCGATGCTGCACTGCAATGCTCGGCGTGGTCGGCGATCATGAAAACAAGTTAAATAGGCTATACGCCACTGTGAAAGTGAAGCACTATGAAACGAATAGAAGATGTTATTAGAGGAAAGTAGTACAACACGCTGTCAGTGCACACAGCAAGTGCCCTCGCGTTTCCACCATGCCGGCACGGGCGAGCCGAAGCCAAGTGAAAGTCTCCGCAAACACGGGCAATGTCGAGAACTCGCTTTAATGTGCTGAATATGTTCGAACTACGGTGAACACTGACAATGCTAATAAAGGTAAGCTGTTCATCAGCGGTCGTGTACCCACACAGTGACCACAAGTTCAAAGCGATATATAGGAAAAGTAGGCTTCGTACGTCATCGGTATCAAGCGGGCTGCCGGTGTGAGTGCATTGCCGGCACAAGCGAAGGAAACGTCGCGTACAAGTTCACAAAAATAGTAGCTCAGGCAAACTTATGTCTTTTTATCCATGCGACAATCGTTATCAAAAATCCAACGTGTAGGCGATCGCGGATACGACTAATCGTGCGGCCAGCGGTACACAGGTTGTGCCTTACCAGCACGATGAAAGAACCGTGCCTGCGAACGGTCTCGTCGCTGTAAGTATACAGATATCTACATCACTCCGTAAGACACAGCGAACATGGGGCACTTACCTATTGTTCATTTGTGACTATAAAATAACGACGGCAAAAATTTCACGCGAGCCGCATGTTGCGATCGCCGGCGGTCTTTTAGCCGTACTCGTCGTAAGCCTAGCGACGCCGTCGGCAAGCCGACACGGTATGGCATCGGCGGGGCGCCTGCGGCTGCTTCGCCGGCTTTCCCGCACAAGCGCCGCTGCTATGTTTGTGTTTGCGGACTCGTGCGCCACCACTGCGAACGCTGGTTCGGCCGACATGATCGAATACCAGCTGATAATTCGTATTCTCGTGCTGGAGGCATGTTGAAGATTAGATGGATCCATATTAAAAGATCGATGCGCATCGGTGCTACGAATAAGCCCATGTAAATTTTCGCGTTACGGTGTCAATATTTATTGTTTTCTTAAGCCGAGCAAAAGTCGCCCACTGGCACTAGATGGGAGGTCAAAATACTGTGCTATATATACCCGAGAGTCTGTTCTCTGTAGTACAGCGCGGGCAGTCAGTGTTTGCGGTGTTTTACTTTGAAATAATAGTGCGTATGTATGTGTGTGTGTGTGTGTGTGTGTGTGTGTGTTGCATGAATAACATACTATGATCTTCAGTGCTGATTAAATTGGAATAAACATAAAATTTACTGCACAAACGCAGTGTCGCCATTTTTTTTTTTTGCCATTGGTCCAGATGGTTCAACTGTTAGTCCCGCTGGAGCATTCTACTCCATTTAAACCAAGTGGAGTAAGTGCTTGGGGTAACAGTTGAGCCCTTGCAGTTACTCCCGCAGTTAGTCCAAAATTGGTTCAAAATCTGTGGCAGCGCATTTAAACCCCTAAAAGACCAATGGCATACCCCACTTTAGTCTTTTTCGGCTTAGAGTGTGAGGCCCTTGAAGGCTTACTGTGGCGTATAGCGTACTGGTTGTCACAGCGTCCTTCCGCAATACAAAGCTCACACATCGAAAATTAGCGGCGCAGCTCGGAGTGCTGGTCCCTTCGAAGAATGCCCCGAAGCCTGTTGACGACGTGACAGCGCTCGATCACTGCAAGGAAAAAAAGTGAGAGAACGTGACGAGCGACGGCGGGCGCTTCGTCGTCGTCACCGTCTCCCATATCGCACGCTCTTTTTTAGAGATACCTGCGCAGTTTGTAATGACCGACCTTCTTGGGGTACTTGTTCTTGACCTTGGTGATCTCGTACGCGTCGGCCCGTGACTGCTCGCGCGCGTCTTCCTCGGGCCTGAGCTTCTGGTGCTCCAAGAACCGCGTCAGCCCGTTGGCGTAGTGCTTGGGCGCGTCCTCGCAGTGGACCTCGTCCTCGTTCTTGCAGACCAGCGCCTTTTGGTCGAACACCGTGCCGTTGGTGCACAGGAAGCGCATGTCCGTGTGGGCGCAGATGTGGAACATGCGGCAGCCGGTTTCGACGTCCGCGTAGTAGCCGCCCACAGTCTTGCCCTCGCAGGTGAACGATGTCACGGGCAGCTCGACGGCGGCTACGAGCAGGCCTTCTTCCTCGCCGTGTTCCCGCACCTCGGCGGAACGACTCTCCACGTCCTCCTGGGCTCCGACGTCGCGCACGACTCGCTTGTTGAACTTGGGGAACGCCCAGGGCTTCTTGTCGGCCAGGAACTTCTTGGTCTTGTCGGTGCGAGTGAACTGCAGGCTGCGCGCGCACGAGAAGCTGTCGCGCTCGTCGCACGTGCCGGTCTCCTGGTTGAAGGCGGTTCCTTCGTCGCAGAGCAGGCCGTAGTCTAGCAGCTTGCCCTTGCCGACGGGTACACAGATGTGGAAGAGTTGGCAGTCGGTCTCCGGGTCGGCGTACACTCCTCCGGCCACCTTGTCCTGGCAGCTGAAGCTGGTCTGCTCAGCAGAGGTTTGCCTGTTGGGTGGGAGTACGAGTTTGACGGGGACCGCGGCGGCGCGCTTGGTCCTGGGAGCGGCGGTCTTGGTCTCTTCCTCGTAGTCGTAGTATTCGTACTCGGCGGTCGACGGCGGTGGTGTGGTGGTAGTCGTGGCGAGGCTGGCACCGGGCCTCCTGATGAGTTGTCGCGGTGGTAGCCTGAACGCAGATCCCGGGAAGTTCTGCGGATGCTGCGGCGGCAGGGTTGGCGGGGCCGTTTGTTGGACGATACCGCCGGCGGCGACGGCATTGTTGGGGATCGGCGGAGGGCCGACGGGTGGGGTACCCGCTCCGCTCACGGAGTTAGCTGGGAAGACGCCGGCCGGAACGAGGGGCGATCTCGCTGGGGACTGCGAGAAGGGGTTCGGCTGAACGATGGCTGGCGCAGCGGTTCCGAAGGTCGGGACCGTCTGAGTCGGTGGCTGTGTGAAACTCTGCTGAGGACCGCGGATCACGGGGGTCCTGAAGGGCGATGGCCTGAAGGCTGGAGCGGGAGGCCGCTGGGTCGTGGTTGTCGTCGTGGTCGTCGTGGCGGCGGTGGCGGTCGTGCTCTGAGCCCTGCTTCCACCGCGGCCGAACTGGGACCTATGCGACGGCTGGAACCTCCTGCTGGACTGGGTGGACTGCTGCTGGTTGCGTCGTCTCTGCGCAGGAGTCGGGGGCGGCGGCGACGCCGTGGTGGCGTCGTAGTCGGCGTCGTCGTCGTACTCGACGACGGGCCTCACGGGCCGCCTACGCTTGTCTTGGCGGTCCTGGTCGTGCGGCGGCACGATGGCGTTGAAGACGGGGGCGTCGACGCGAAGGCTGTGGTAGTAGTCCTTGTCGGTGTCGATGGCGCCCATCACGTTCTCGTAGAAGCGCTCGGCGAGGGCGCAATAGACGCGATCGTAGGGCGAGCACACGCGCGACGACTGGCTGAAGATGGTGCCGTTGGGGCACACGAATGACATCTTCGTCAGCTTGCCGAAGGCGCCCGGCACGCAGATGTGGTAGACCTGGCACTGCACCTCCGGGTCGGCGTAGTACTCTCCCGCCTGCTTGTCGGAGCAGCTGAACGACGTCTTCGGGATCTCGTGCACGTTGATTGACGGCGACTGCCGCCGGATCCGGTGCATGGGCTGCGGGATCACAAAAAAGTAGCGAAAACAAATCGGTTAGAACGAACAATTTATCACGCTTTTCATGAAAGCTATGCGAACCGATAGAGTTGTGTCTCGGAAAAGCATGCTTTCTCTCAGGTCTTCTACAATTGAATTTTCATGTTCCTGAAAAACTTTACTGATAAACTCTAAAGTGGCTTACATCAAGGCTTTTACGTCTAGTATATCACCTGTACATATCACAGCAACAATTTTTTTTGTTTCTGCCCTCTTTTGTTTCCTTTTATGTGCTCAATACCGCTTTCTTTGCGCAGTAGCATGTATACACGCCTTCATTACGCTGGAAGGATTATCTATATACCTCAATATAGAGCTCTCTAATGAGTGAGTCGAACTGATTGATGGAATTCACCTCGTGTGCGAGTCTAGGGAAATAAGTGAAAGGCGGGTACCGTTATGTCGTCCGCGCATCTGTCCCAGTTGCGTCACAATCGGGTTGCATCAAAGAGCGCACAAACCTGCTTCGGGTTTTGTTTATATGCATCGTGCCCGTTTAGCTATAGTACCAGTTTGGGGAATTAATTACTCTTCCAGCCCCAGAAAACAGCAACGCCGCTTATAGTTTCTTTTTTTCATAGCTTTTTTTCTTTTTCACGATTCGACGCACACAATCGCTGCCCCTCGAAGCGCGCTATACGTCAAAAATATGCGCTTCGAGTCAAACAGTAATTACTTGTTTTTGCGAGGATAGCGCTGTTCGATTTGAGAATGCATTTTTTTTTTCTCTCAAGAGGCAGCCTGGTTCCGATGTACCGATATTCCGTTTTGAGTAGGCTACTACAGATTAAATTGTTTGCAAGTGTTTGCTTTCTTTGACATTTTTTTTCGTTGCTTTTTTTTTACGAGTAAAACATGCAACATTTCACTCGTCAGTGTTTTCCTTCTGCATTAAAACTTGTGCTTTTCGCATACCCAGCGTTGTAAACGTTGTATAACCATTTTGTAATACTTTGGTAGCCGTTTAGCAACGTGTGCATTGTTTCATGATTGACCGCACGCTGTTTTCTTTTGTTTTTTTGTTGTTTTTCTCTCTTTGTGGTTTGATTATTTTATGTAAACCTGAAACTGATGTAATTTTTATGCATTTTCTTTTTATTTCCTAATTTCTTGAAGTTTTGAAAATCGACGTCAAATTGTTTTTTTCATATTTTGTGCTCTGCGGATTTTTGTAATGCCAAGTGAAAAGGGGTGTAGGAGCCTCGTCAAGCTGCTAACATAGCAGCTTTTTGCTCTTATCCTTGCGTTTTCTTTTTCGCAACTCTGTGAAGAAAATGCTCATAAAACTGAAACTGAACTGAAATTCGTTGCTCTCATGTGCGTTGCACAGCGACAGCTGTTATGAGATCACAACGAGGCTCGCGTGCGTCGTAGTTGTCCGCCGCCGCCGGTGTCCGTAACCACTTTCACGCAAAATAAAAAAAAGTTAATAGAAAGCATCAAGGACACAATGGGATTCAAACGCGGGTCTTCTGCGTGCCAGCCCAGCATTTCATCACAGAGCCGTGCTGGTGCTTGAAAATCCGCTGCAAAGTGGCCTTAGGCGCGTGTAATGTCGAGGAAAAAAATCCCATCAATACGAGTAATAAAGCGTTTTAAAACAGCAAAAAATAAACAACAACCAGGCACCACACAATGCGAATTGCGTAACGAGTGGGTAGTCGAATTCTGCAATCCATTACAAACGCTTCAGGCGTAACTCTTCATCGTCGTAAGCCACATCATGAGAAAAACTTCACAAAATTCCTAGCGAGTGTGTAGCGGGTATACCACACTTCTCCGAAGAATGACAAAAGATGGCGTTGTGATTGCCTCCCTAATACACAAAAAATTATGATTAAGAGCATAGTGGGTGCCCCGCAAGTTGGCATGTGGCAGTTACCCATCGATTCTTTTAAAAAAAGCTCTGAATGTCCGATCTTCCAGCTTTCGCTGCGACTGTGCTGCGCGTTCCGTGCAGGCCTGGCGGTATTTTTTTCTTCGCTCACGATCGCTACAGTCTAAGAAAAAAAAAGAAAAGCGCAGGTTGTACTGATTCGCACAAAGCTGAATCGCAGCAGAGCTGCTGGATACCTGGCTGGCCCTAGCTTGTCCAGGGTTTTACCCCCTCGCCCTTTTCCTTCACCTAGACTATATAGACTATTACCTATAACACGTGGGCGGCGTCCACGTGTCTTAGGTAATATAGTGGTAATATAGAGGTACTATAGGTAATATAGAGGTGAGTCGCCTTTTTCCTTCCCACGCCTAGACTATCTTACCTAGACTATATAGACTGTGCTACCTAACACACGTGGGCGCCGCCATCTTTGGCTGCTAAGTTGATGTTTTTTTTTTGTCTTTATAAATTTCGATGTGAATCAGTAAGGCCATAAAACATCGTATAGGCTCTAGCTCAACTGTTTTCACATGTATGCGTCTATTGTAACACCGTTCGTTGAGTTGTTAAAGATGCAAAACACAAAGGTTAGCAGCCCAACATGACGGCACTGCAAACCCTCCGTAAAATAGCCTATACTACACTATACATGTCTATGCTGACTCTTATCGTAGTGTCGTTAGACTCCCGTTTGTCTTTTTGCCTGTTTATTTGTATCTCATTGTCTCGTTGTCTATTTATTTCTATTTTCATCTCTTTAGTGGTAGTCGCTGTCCCCTACTTTCTTCCTTTCTCTCTCTCTCACATCTGGCTTCCCCACTTTTCCTTCCCCGTTCCTTACTATACCGTGCACTATAATATGTCACACTAGGGTATGCTCTGCTAGCGTGTATGCGGTTATGCGGGTTCGAATCTCGCCTCGCGAAGAGATTTCGTTCTCATCAAATTTCCCCCTTTCTTTCCTTCTTTCTATGCTCGTCGTCTCTCCCATCAGACATTCTATCTCGAGCCGAAGTAATTGGTGCGCGCGTCCCGGAGGCGAAGCAGATTGGAGAAGAGAACGAAGGGAGTCTGAGCGTGACGTCACACCAGCGCATGAGTTCTGATGGGCGATCTCATATCTGGGCAAGCATTTCCAGTACACGAATTGCACCTCACGCTCAGTTAGTTGGCTTACACAGGTGCGCTGTTAAACTGTCGCCCAACTTTTACATTATCCTCAATGATACTTCTCTCAGAATTTATGCCCATTCTTTCCTTATTATTATTGCTTTTTATGTTCATGCCACTTCATGACCATACATTTGAACTACTCTCTTTTTATCTTAGCACTGTTTTCATAAACGTTTTGTATTACTTTTTTGTGATGTTATACCTGTATGTTTATTTCATATTTGTTGTACATGATTGACTACCATTCCTGCTGCTTTGTCAACTTGTGAACGGGGTCAGGACCTCGTCAAGCTCTTGAGCTTTTAGTCCTGTACTCCACCTTATCTAAAGGAAATAAATTGATTGATTGATTGAAGTAGGGCACTTCCTGCACGCAATCGAAGTTCCCGGGCTTTTGCTGTCGCTATACCGCCACCAGTGGCGCCTCGGGTGCATGATTATATTATCGACACGTGCCAAGTTGTTTCAGCGCTATTCTCCCAAATTCTCGACTGCGGTTACACCGCTGAGCGTCTCCTAATCGCTCATTGAAATGGCTACGCTTTTCGTCTGGGAGGCTGGGTGTGATGAAAAAATGTGAAAAACGCGGGAGCCGCTGAGCCTATTTGTGTTTCGGCAATCAAGCTGTTTATTATGACACAAATGCCGTTTGGCGACTCGTGGCGCTTTCCGTATATCATCAGTAAAATAGGAGTAATTGAAAACTGCTCAAAACGTGTTTCGTAGTACGCGCGGAGTCTGGTCCCGTTCTCGCACGTTCGCGTTAGCGACATTAGCGATGTATGTTCTGAATACTCTCGTGGTCTTTCTTCTGTAAACAAAATTCGGATTTGAAATTTGTTTCGGCGTGTTAGTCGTATTCAGTCTAGAAACTTCATTTTCTTTCCTGAATGCGTGAGCAGAACTACTTTATGAATAATGAGCTGTTGGAATAATTATACAAAACTGCCAGGCCTGGGCGCAACGCGCAGCACTGTCAGAGCGAAAACAGGAAGAGCGGCCTATCAGAGCCTTTTCTTTGGGTTATGCTACAAGCATACTTACAGGGTACCCACTGCGCCATAATTCATCATTTTTTGTGTATTAAGGAGGCATTTACTGTGCCATCCTCCGGCACTCTTCTCAGAAGTGCGGTACCCGCTGCATATATACTTGCAAAGAAGTTTGGGCAATTTTTTTGATGCTGTGGCTGACGAAGATGAATTATGCCCGAAGCGTTTGTAATGGGTTGGAGTATTTGACGACTGACTCGTTACACAATTCGCGTTGTGTGACGGCTGGTTGTTCCTTTGCAGTTCTAAAATGCTTTATTACTCATTAACGCGATTCCTTTCCCGACAGAAAGCCTGCCTAATTAATACCAGTTTGCAACGAAGTTTCAGCCACTGGCGTGGTTCTGTGGTACAATACCGGGCTATCGCTCAGGAGACCCGGGTTCAAATCTCAGTTATGTCCATAGTGTGTTTCGTGTTTTTTTATTTTCTTATTTTGGACAGTAGTGGTTACGGACTCCGGCGGCGAACAACGACGGCGCACGCTATATATCCTAATTTATTTATTTATTTATTTATTTATTTATAAAGTACAGCAGGTCATATAAATGGCCGAGGCAGGATTGGGAGGTGGTACAATGATAATGATATGACCAATTAATAGATGTACAGGTGTAGAGAAAGAAGAGAAAAAAACAAAGAAAACAACAACGACAGAGACAAAATAAACCAGACAAGTGTACAATATATAACTCGCACTTCAAAGTAATTTTGTAGAGATTTTAGTACATTTGCAGGCTCAAAAGTATGGTGCGGCAGTTCGTTCCAGCCTGTTATTGTGCGAGGGAAAAAAAGAGTACTTAGTTGCTAGTGCGCGCAAAGGCAGGTGTGAATTTGTAAGAATGGTATCTTCTAGTAGGACGTGAAGATAACGGATTTGGTTTGTGGGGTTTAACGTCCCAAAACCACCATTTGATTATGAGAGACGCCGTAGTGAAGGACTCCGGAAATTTTGACCACCTGGGGTTCTTTAACGTGTACCCAAATCTGAGTACACGGGCCTACAACATTTCCGCCTCCATCGGAAATGCAGCCGCCGCAGCCGGGAATCGAACCCACGACCTGCGGGTCAGCAGCCGAGTACCTTAGCCACTAGACCACCGCGGCGGGGCGTGAAGATAACGGAGTGAGGACGTGCGAAAGGTCTATGATAGTGTTTTCCTTAGTGTTTTTCTTAGTGTTTTTCTGTTGTGATCTCATAACAGCTATCGCTGTAATATAGAACTGTTAGGACTCTACGTCCCAAAACCGCGACATGATTACGGGAGACGCTGTAGAGCAAGACTCCGAAAATTTCAACTGCCCGGGGTTTTCTATAGCGGCCACCCGAATCTAGGCCCACGGGCCTCAAATATTACTCCTTCGTCGAAATGCGACCGCCGCGGTCGTGATTAGATTGCGCGACCGGCGGGTCAGCGGTGGAGAAGCATAACTACTATAGACCATTGCGGCGTGTGTTCTCGTGTGCACACATCCGGTGTTCTACTCGGTGCTTCCCTTGCCGCCTATCTCTTGCTTCCTTTCTCTCCTAGCTTTGCAGCAGTGGGTGACAGAGCGCATCGACAATAGAAACGAAAGACGTTGAAGTATTCACTCATCTAATGTGTATGGTCGTAATTTAATGGAATGATAATCCGTCTACCAACGACATCAGGAGGCGTCGAAAGCGTTACGACAAAGACGCGGTGCGTGGCCTTTTGAACCCTACAGCTCGTAGCGGGTCAGGGCGAAAGGGTCGCGACGAAGAAAATGTACGCGTATCGCTCCAGCGTCCTAGTTTATTGGAACATCCGACTTGCAAAGCAGTAAGAAGCACAAAGTAGCCAGAAGGAAAGAGGCGCTATAGCTAGCGAGGCGTGTCGAAGGTAACAGAGCGAACACTCTCTCCTGCTCCCTCCCGCGCGTCACAAGACGACGCTGGCGTCAAGGAAGCGTCGGCTGGCTGCCGCGCGTTTCGCTAATGGCAGAGCGGTTGTCAAAACGCAAAGTGCTGCGTCTCGTCAACCATTTCTGGCTTATGGTAATCATTTGCAATGTGTAGTTTCACCGCAGTGGTCACATGTTCAAGAGTCATCTATAGCGAATGCATAATGGATAAGATTTTCTGAAAAGTGCGAAGCTTTTTAGGAAAAGTCGACACTTGATCTGTTCGGACCACTTTCAGGAAAAATGACTCTTTAGGATAATACAGTGGTGAGACACTTATAGCGATATTATAGAAGAGTATAAATGCGACTGTATTATAGAACTACCAGGCAAAATATGCATTAAAATTTTCGCAGGTTGGTCAGAAGCCTACTGTATGACGCCTGCCGATCTACATGGATAATACCAGCAATGGCTATTGTTGGTTAGCATAGATTACTCTTAGGCTTTGCTTTACAGCGCTAGTTATCACTAACCAGCTTATTAAAATTTGAGGCTAACGTCATACATTCTTTATCTTCGTCACCAGTCTGTTCTTTGTGCACATGACAGATGGCCAACAAGACAGTCTTGATTAAGTAGATGAAGTGAAGTTTTGAAAGGTGCCTGCGAGACACGTTAAATATTGTATGAGGATTTTGTCCGCAACAAGGAAGGAGTGCGCTCTTACCCGATCATGAACGAAGTCTGAAGTGACCAAAGGCATCAGGGCAGCCAAGGCCAGCAGCCCTGTAACAAAGAAGAACATAGTATCTGTGCAAGCTTCTATATTTAGAGACGTTGTGGCCAAACTATACTATTGTAGAATAACGAAGAGGCGGACAAGCCGGTTCAGACGCACGATGATGTAAAAGGCTGAATTAAAACGAATACAATAGGATGAGAATAAGACAGGACATGTGTTGTACTCACAACTGGAGCGGAAGGCTACAACATCCTTTTCTGCCACAACTGGAGTTACACTTAGGGCAGCGCATGTCCTGTCTTCTTCTCGCCCTCTTGTATTAGTTCTTGCGCTGCCTTTTATAATATTACGAATATGAACTATAATAGTTGTTAGCTAGTAACACATAGGTTTTATTTTTTTCCTCAAGTGTGAACTGTCGTATTTCTGATACATATGACATGCTATGTAATAGAGACATACGTACTTACATACTAGACTGTAGGATGTTATGGTAAGTGGCTACTGTACTGACGCCACACCTCGTCTTGTACCCATCGTCATCCTTCATCCCTCTTTCCTTCCCCCTTCCCTTATCCGCCGTGTAGAGTAACAGGCTAGAGCGAACTAGCTCAGGACGACCTCTCTACTACCCTCTGATAAATTCTCACTCACTACACCTTTCTTTCCACTTAATAATGCGGTGAGATTTACAGGCTTATCGAAGCTTCAAGGGCCCGAAAGGCTTCGCTTGGCTGACGATATAAAACACTTAGTTGCTTGACCGATTGTAATAATACAATTAAACATGACGAATAAGACTTGCCCAAGAGTATTCACAGGTTCGGAAGCCTACATTTGCTATGTGGCAAATAGGTACGCCATCAGCGAGCCGCAGGAACTCCTGATACATTTCCTAAACTAGGACGTTCTATTCTCACGTGTCGAAAAATGCGGACGTCACAACCTGTAATCGAATCCACGACATAGCGGTCAACAGCACATAGCTCTGGTCACTCACTACTGTGGTGGTTGCTTCGCAAGGGCTGTCGAATGAGGTCTCGAGAAGTTAGTCGTGCACGTACCTCCTCCTCCTCCCTGAAATTACAACTGCTCGGCTACTCAGTGCATCACGCTGCTGGAATGCGGGACGATGTCTACGACGTGGGCGCGTGCAAATGTCGCGCCGCCTTTTTTTTTTTCCCAATGCATGCATGAGTCAGGTCCTCCCAGTTAATGAGGTCACCGGGGAGTTTGTTGTGGCGTTGCTGCATGCAGTTTGTTTCGTTTGCTCTGAACCAGAAACCGTGCTGTTGCTTCTCGTTTCAATTATGGTCTTAGAGCCTTGATAAGAAAAATCATGCTACCGAACACCTACAAGCCGAGGGCGATAGTTCTCTGAATCGCTTGGCTGTCGTGATCTGAGTTACTTTGTTATTACTTTCATTACACAGTGGAGTGGCAACCGGCGCGGTGTTTCGCTGGTGTTAAGCTGCTGAACATGATGTCTTGGACGCGACACTTGGCTACGACAGCCGGATTTTTGTGGAGCGAGAACCTTCAACGCGCACGGCGTTCTTCATGTATGGTTACAAAACACCAGGTCGTCAAAATTAACCGAAAGACCTCCACCATCAAATTCCACGTCACTATGCATAATTCCTTTACGTATTTAATAAAATCTGATAATTTTGAATAAATACAAGTGGAAATTGTGCTGCCGTTTTTTTTTTCCTAAAACCGATGCAAAATAACGCACATGTTCGACCAATCGATTTTAAAATTCACTTGTCTACTCGTGCCCTGGTCTTTCGCTCTGCTTCCTATAAAATGTTGAACCGACTAGCTGACAAGTTCACTTTTCAAGATGTTTAGGTAGGTCGAGTGGTGTTCGAAATTACGTTTTTTTTTTTTCTAAAGACGCTTCTCTTGCAATTCCGAGTGCAGAATTTTTTGGTAACGGAGGAAAGGGGGGGGGGGGGGTTAGCTGGGGTACGACTGCTTATTGCAACGGACATTGCGAATGACAAAGGCTGAGGAGAAACTGCGTGCGCTTATGCTAACGTGTTAGTGTGTGGCACGTCATCATTAGACGGGGTTCGAGCCACGAACTTCACTCACCCGTGACCAGTTTTGAGGTAGCCATGTTTCCTAGCCTGCCTACACGTCAGCAGGTCCTGGACTTTGACTCCTGTGGAGGGGTAGAAAGAAGAAGCAATGAGTTTCGCGTGAGCGGTTACAATGGCGCATTGTTCTTCCTACACTTAACAACGTGCTTCGAACGAAAACCAGAGCGCCGCGTAGATCGACGTCGTTTATTATCGAGCCTTGCGAACGCTAATCTTTGGTTACACTTTGTTTCTCTTCTCCAGCCGTTAGTTCGGCTGGTCATTCGGCCCGTTGCGGCTGAAGAATGATCGTCGAACCATCAGACAGCTAGTCATTTCATTCGCACGGAAACCAGCTGACAATCACTGTTCGTCTCTATCGTAATCAATCTTTCATTTTAGCGTTACATAGAGCACCGTCGGAGACGCGTCAACCTTGCCGCGCCGTGCACTCCGCAATGGCATCTAGTGCAGAGCGCGGGAGGACAATGGCAGCATGTTTCGAGGGCGGCCCTCGCCACGAGCAGAGTCGAGTCAACTCGGTATGCGCGCACCGCGCCGTCGTCGCCTCGCGTGGGGCAGTGTCTAACCGCTCACGTACTCTCACTTGCCGGGCGCCTGACCCAGAGCCCCCGGGCTGACCCCAAGGTGGAGCGGGGGCCGTGTGTAGCGCGTTGTACTAAAGGTGGGCGTACGGGGTCAGACTGCCGCAGACGCCTTGGCAGCTAGCGGCGGGCGTTTTCGCACGTGCCCGCTGCGAGTAGGACTGAAGGGAGGACGAAGAGACGAGGAAGGGGGTGGAGGGAGGGGTTCTTGTAGTAGGTACGCAACGGTTTCTCTCTCGTGCTATACAGGTCACACAGCCGTCGTTTGCTGGTGTTCTTGTGGGCGGCTGTGCGCGCCGAGCGGATGCAGTCGTCATTCAACGCCGCCGCGGGGAAGCGGCAGCGGCTTATGCAAGCGCTGATTCGTTGATAGCGGGCCCACTGTACGGTCGGGGCACGCGAACGTCGTGGCTATGCGGCCCGCAAGGCCTTCCCCGAGCAGGCTTTGCCCCTGCAGTTACCTAAGGTTTCCTTTATCTGCCTCGTTAGCCTTTGTATGTCGCGGTTGCGAAAGGGGGAAAAAAGAGTCGCCTTGCCAGTGGACTCCTTGCGGGAGAGTAGGGGGCGAAGTATACTTGTTGTCTTAGGAGGAGTATGAAGTCGGAGGGATAACGCGATGAGGTACACGACAACGCGACCGCTTTCGCGCTTTGTCGCGCGCGCGGTTCCGCCGAGGTATTGCCGCATTGATGCGTGCAGTTAAAGACTGTTCAGTGGGCACAGATTGCAAGACGCTCTCGGATGACTTCGCCTGCGTGTGTGGTCGTCCCGATTAACGCCGTCGCGTGTCGTCACGGCGACGACGAAGACGCCTTATCTGTTCTTCTCAGTGCCAGTTGCAAAAGACGCGAGGAACGTTCGATCGCCAACCAGATCTGACGGCAACTGCATGCCGTCGGGCTGGTCATGACCGAGTCGCGTTGTCGCTTCAGGTAAGGAACGAGTCTGTAACGCTGTCGAGAACTGCCTGTAAAAGCGGTATTGTCGTTGCCGGCTACATTTTTCGCTTTACCACAGCGCACGAACCTGCTTTGAGCGTAGTGTAGTTTGAGCGTAGTGTTATCTTCCGTAGCAATACTGTCCAGTGAACTGCCGTTAGGCTCGCTGGGGCCGGGACTTTGCAAAACTGACATGGTGCGGTTACGAGTGGACCTACAAATCTTGACTACGACTCTCGTTGACCGATAAAAGTGACACCTTGTTCGGACTACACAATCGTGCGAATGAAAGGCTGGCTCGAGTAGTGTACGTAGCACACGCTTGCGATTACACAGGAAATCATTGCCCACGAGGTGCGAGGGACATGTGGATGTATGTCTTTAGTTTGACGATTGATACTGCGCGGTAACGCACTCTAACTTTTTACGATTCAACTAATCTGACTTGTTGGATCTACACGTTCGCCGCCCACATTCATAAACACATTTCGTGTATGCCATATTTGGGTGACTGTAAACGATGGTCACAAGAGCACGGTCAGATGATTCCGGAATGCTCTTGTCTTAACGGCCACTCCTGCAATTGCAGGTCGCATGCCGTAGACGGGAAAGGCAACACGAATCAATTCTCAAGTTGGGCGTGACAACAGCCAGCGTAACAGCAGGGAAACAATGTACGAAAGAATAGGAATTTTCGTTCATTTCCTTGACAGCCACAACCAAATGAATTCAGCAAACTATCAGGCCAGGGATGGTATGTAGTCGCCTCGGTGAATGTTTGCTTTATGGACTAAGTTTTCTACTAAGTCAATCTTCCGTCATCTGGCAAGGGAGCATGGGAGCGAGCAAGGTGCCTCGACAAATGAACACGTAAACAAACTATTGGGGCATAGAGCCATAAACAGTCCAGCACTTCCGGTTTTGCGTTTCTCTTTTGCTTCGCTCTTATTACTTCCGCACGCTTACCTTTGCCGCATGTGGCAGACTGGAAAGGTGGAAGGAAGAAAGAAAGAAAGAAAGAAAGAAAGAAAGAAAGAAAGAAAGAAAGAAGCTGGAAGGTTGACAAGACAGAAAAAGAAAGAAAGAAAGAAAGAAAGAAAGAAAGAAAAGCAAGAAAAGGTAAGAAGTAAGCTTCAAGAGTTGCTTGCCAGCGGGGAAGTGTGCGCAAGAAAAAACTCGGCTGCCGGGCAAGATATTCGCGAGGAAGTAAACTCTCTGCGCACGACGGCTCAATGAATTAATAGGCCTAAAGGAAGAAGCAGTCGCGCACAGCGGGAGGCAAACATCATGGGAAGAGCACAGTTTGGGGGCCCCTTCTTGACCTCTCGTATTACTTCCCCCATTTGCAGTGCGTGCGTGCGTGTGAAGAGGTTAAAAGCCTCCGCTTAACCTCACACCGATTGGCTCGGGGTGCGTGCTGCGAGAATGCGGAGGTTTATGCCGTTGAACGGAAGCCATACCGTATTCTGAGCTGGTGCATAGTCTAGGTGGTGTTGGCTGGTGGCGCTTGTGAGCGCGATGCTTTCAGTACGCGAGCTTATTATATGGGCCCCTATAGATTACCGCACGTTTTGCCGATCGGAAGCGTTCTTCTGCGGGATTCACCTCCTTAGGATGGTCTAGTAGGGCATAAGCGTGCAAAGCGTTCCCCACATCAAGGGAGGCGAACGCTCATCGCAGTGCCCTTTCCCTCCATACTAACTTAAAGTGTACAGAAGAGCGTCCACAGAGCTGCTGTGGTCGCCCTACTAAATCTGTGATTATTCCTCGTCCTTTGAAGATTTGGTTATAAAGCTGTGGGTTCGGGCGGAAATTCATTCTCGCCGAAACCTACACCTTCATAACCAAATAGCCTCCGTATTGTTATCTGCCAGATTGCATATCCTACTTCTGTCTCCCAGTCCGGTAATCTTGTAATAGAGAGAACAAAATGGCGTGCCCCCCTTCGCTGTCTACATTTTTGTTCGTCATACCGGGATGCGAGTAAGTTAAGGTTTCGATAAACTGGTGTTTTCACCGCTACACCACACCACACCGCTACTAAACCTGCGAAATCGAAATAGAGAGTTTTAGTACTGCGTACGCTGCGTACGTGGCGGCGTTGCGTACGTAAGGACGCCACGTTCTGCATAGTGCGCATGCGTAGACCGCAACGCGCGCGCATCGCATTACGTACGCAGCCGCTATACGTACGCACGCATGAGATGCGTGCGTGCGTACGTATGAGGTGATCGCGCCGCTCTCGAACAACTTCGCGACAGCGCGAGACTTCGTTTTGCAAAATGACGGCATCAAAAGCAAGCACCGACCGGCTCTGTGCCTCAAAATATGGCCATAATCTGGCTATAACACTTGGATTGGCTCACATTGGCTGTCAACAACACGTGCTTCTATTTTGATCTACCAGATGGCGCGACACGCTTCACGCTCGTTACGTACGCGGGTACTACGGCGTACTAAAAGCCGATTAGTGGCAAACGACGCCACGTAACGCAAGGCGCTTGCGTGATGCGTACGTAGCACCATTCCGCAGTACTAAAACTCTCTTATAGTGATCCCTGACTTCGGTCGACTGGCCTACTGCTGTGTTGCAGTTTCAAAAAGTAGTGCGTTTCGGTGCGCACTGTATAGAGGGATGTTGCGAGAAAAGTCCGCGAGCATGCGCTCACACACACACGTTCAGAGACGCATCGTTCGCCGGCCGGGCGTTTTTTGTACAACGATTACGGCCGTCTATAAAACAACGACAAGTCGAAGTCTCTATACGCATATCACATCTCGAGGCCGCGAGGCGAGCAGACGGAGAAGAGGTCAGCATGCCAAAGGAGAAGATAGTCGCGCCGAGATAAGTTCAAGGGAAACCGGTGTCTCCATCGGCCTCTCTAGCGCTGCCGGGGCGTGCATCGAGACATGTGGCTGGATTGAGTGCGCAACAGAGAGGGCCAGGAGAATACAGAAGGTCGGGCCCGAGACGACGACGTAATCTGTTCGAGCTTTGAGGAATTCCGATCAAAACGTCGCCCATGTACGAAGTGCCCTTCCTTGTACATATATATCTGCTCGTTGGACATGCTCAGGAGCTAAGTACGCCTATGCGTTGATCGAATGTCTGGTGGGCTCTTTGTGTGTGTGGTGGGTGCTCGAACACCTTATCATAGAGCGTCGTACATTCTTTACGCAGCACACGTCCCTATATTGAAGCGAAGGCTCGCAGGATCCTTTATGTGTTCCTCTACGACGACTGAAAGGCGAAAGCTATTTTCTTCTACTTCGCAATCGGTGTATTGATAGTCTCCCATACCTCACCAAAAGATGAGACGCATTAGGGGCTTCGCAATCGGTGTATTGATAGTCTCCCATACCTCACCAAAAGATGAGACGCATTAGGATGAGACGCACCTTTTAGATGAGACGCATTAGGGGCTCTCCGAACCTCACCCGGTTTTGAATCGCATCTGTGGCCTGCTACATTTGTCCAATCGACGCTGTCATGTGATGACATCACGATGTGACGTCACGTTATGCGACGTAACATGGTAA